TCGCTATACTTTCCTTTTACCTTGGCTATCCTCTCGTGCATCCTGCCTTTCCGATCATCCCCACTCGCTTTAGCCTGGGCTGCTGCTGACTTGTACTTCTCAAGTCTTTGTTGCAATGCTTCCAGCACTGTTTTTGGCTGCAGGTAAGCTTGAAATAAGACAGATAATGAAATGCCACATGATCCAGATTCCTTCCCCCGCTTCTTCTCTGCCGCAGAGACAAAAAACCCAAAACAAAACTGTGCAAAGCTTTATTATGAATACAATTCTTCTAAAGAAAGTTTATTAATTTTTACTTCTATTACTGATCCAGGACAACAATACAAAAGGGATCGGCAGCAAACAGTATAAGGAATATTAGTCACATATACTCAATCCTGTTGGTAGTGGGATAAAACAGTCCTCATAAGTGCCTTCCAGCCCTGCTACTTTTATGCCTCGGCACAGAAATCATAAGTCCTACCTGAACAGTCTGAGGTCTGAGGTCCAGGTGTTGTAAGATCCTGGGAACTTCCCAGAGAGGCTGGTACCTTTTGCTGGGATGTAGCTTGTACGTTTTCTAGGCTTTCAAGATCTATAAAGGAAGGAAAGCAGGAAGTTTCACAGCATGTTCCATAAACAGTAAGTCAACCCATGTTAGTCAGGAAATCATCAATTTGATCACATCATCTCCCAGGAAGTTGGCTGGCTTCGAAACTAATGTGGGTGGACAAATAAGTCTGAAGTTCACATTATTCCAGTCTTCTAAGAATCATCTCCCAAAACATAACTTGGTATCTTGTCAGAAAGAAAGAGTGAACAAGCTTGCTAATTTACTAAAATATCCTGGTAACAAAAGATATGCAGAAAAGAGGAAGCAAGTAAGACTATCAATTCAGATATCCCATTTTCTGGTATTGTATAATAATGAAATGTTTTAGGATCTAGAAAAATATCGACCCCAAAATCTTGCATTTATTTATATAATATTATATCATGGGTGAAGTTTCTCTCTCATGCCACCTGGTGATCAATTTATAACTTAAGTAGAAATAATCTTCGTTATTTTATTCTAAGAAGTGAAGTAAGAGATTATCATTTTATTTCAATAAATAACCAACTACTTTTACTAAACAGCAATTAAAACACTTGAGTTCCAGATATTGACTGTTAACTGTTGGTGGTGATGTTAAATCTATTTAAAAAAAAAAAGTTATTTCAATCCTTGTGAGGTTTTAATACTGGTAACTGCCTTAGGACTTCGACTTTAATGCCCTGAAGTCAACCTTATTTTCTTTTCAGGACAAGTATGCTTGTTAATCTTATAATCTGAACTTCTGTTGAAACGTGTAACAACAACAAATATTAAGGTAGATTTTAAAAACTTGCCATTACCCAAAAAAATCCACTTCAAACAATAGCTACTATTATATCAAGTTATAAGAATGAGAGAATTACACCTCAGTAACTTGTACTTCACAGAGCTGGCATATTTTTAAAGAATAAAAAAAAGTTTAAGTTTTACCTGTTCTCCATGTAACAGCTACTGCAAATCATGTCAGAAATAACACACAGAGAGGAAAGACAAAGCCCAAGGTGGGGGAAAAAGTTACAAGAAAGATATTTTGAAAAGTCAGAATGTTCTATACCTTAAAATTTCTCTCTCAATTTCTCTTTAACCAGGAGTTTGCAACAGAAGAAAATTTAGCGTGTTGCACAGAACAGCTTTTTGAGTATCAAAAAGAACACTCCACTGCAAGTCCCTCCGAACCACAGATAGGAATGCATCACTTCTGTGGTTGATATAAATTCAGAATCAAGTTTGCTGTTAGGAGTAGAAATATACAGCAAAAAAACAAACAAACAAAAAAAAAACAGGGATCAAGAGAAAAGGGAGAAGATAACCTTTAGTTTTAAGGCATAGAAATTTTATTTCTAGGGTTGCGGGTTGCATAATAAGCAGTCAAAAGGGGAAGTTACAAAATCAAGCAGCCATCATGAGCATACAAATCACATTCAGAAGAACAGGCTAAAGGGGACAGGGTGATACTCTTTTGGCTAGCCACAAACTGGATATGCTTTGGAAAATTAACTTTGGGAAAGAAGAACCAGGATACAGTAGTATGAAGAAATCTATATGCTGCTGCTAGGAATCCTTAGCATTCATTTCAAGCCTAGATAGGTCAAGAGAGTAACTTCAAAATAAACGAGGATACCTTGTTTTTCTTTAATGGTCTTGATTAGAATTTGAATATACAGTAAACCTCAGACCTAAGTGACCTTCAATTCCACTTACAGTTTTGCGATCAAATTTAGAATCATTCTATTACAGCAGAGAGAGACTTCTAAAAGGGTTTCTTTAAGACAAACCTTACCTTGAGGAGATGGCGGCATATTCTGGAGGTCTAATGGCTGCCCACTGTCCAAAGCTTCCAGGACCGTGTTAAATTTCTAATGTAGCAAAGCACAACATAAGATTTATTTGAGTATGTCCGAGACTTGCTAGTTGACACAATGACAGTCAATGAACACGTTCTTATTACACGTGTGTAGTGCACAGAGCAGCTTAGCATTCAGATTCTTGACAGACAGTTTCTGTGTGCTCACCTTGCCTATCTTCATGTATTCCTTCGCCTTCTCCAGGTCCCCTTGTTGTTTGGCTTTGAGAGCTGCTACTTTATACTCTCTCTGCCTCGTAAGTAGCAGTGCCCGTGTGCTGCTGTTCTGGTGATCTGCGAAAAGGAACACGAATGAGACTTACGCAAAACAAGCGAGACGTACATCCCTTCTTCTGCTCATCTATTCAAACCCGCTTAGTTCTCTTGGGCTTTGAGTAACACATCCTCCTTACAAAAGGCCCTTTTCTTCCAGTCCCCAGAAGTCCCATCACACATGATACTCCCACTTCTCAATGAAAAAAAAAAAATAGTCTTTTAGTCAAGATATCAAAACGCCTTAAAGCACGGAATCCCATGTGTCACATGTTGGAGGAGAAACTGAGGCACAGTAGAAGTTAAAGTGAAAGATACCAATACACTGCAGGCCAGGAGAGGGTCCCCTGGGAAGCCTTCATTTTGTAGTGATTCAATTTCAGAGAAACTGAAATCAGAATGTCAGGACTCTCTTAAAAATATCTGATCCCATGGCTGACCCAATTTGAAATATTCACCTGGGAAGGTCTACATAAGCACAACTCAGTGCTTTGCTACACAATCCCCCTCAAAAAAACTAAGAAAAACGTGACCTTAGAATAGCATTGGAACTGCTTATTCTCTCTGAACATAGTACCAGTTTCCATGGTAGAACTAGAAGGAGCATGACCTCGTAGGGACTCCAATTCCAGATGCTGCTCTGCATCATGAGAGGGCTTCTGCTCATGATCTGCAGCAGATTCTACTCTCTTCTCTGCTGGGACACTGCCTGAATCTTCCAAGTTTTCTAGTTCGGCTCCTGTGGCTTGAGGTACATGAGAACTCTTTCCTGTTGCAACAGGGGGTGGAATTTCTTCCTCACTGACTTTTTTGCCTTTCTTCACTGCAGCCAGCATGGTTTCCAGCGTCTGACAGAGATGGAACAGCAAAGTCAATAGGCGTTTATATTAAACGTACAGCTGAGCGTAAAAATCATCAAAACTCAAATTCATTCCCTTATCCATGATGGAATCGATTACAGCCATCTTTTGACGGTCACTAGAGAACGGGGCCCCTTAGCATTCCCTACTTTTCTGCAGGGCCAACTTCAGTGCAAGTGAAAGGTGCTCAGTTGTCAGAGCAACACAAAGCAAAAGACTTGTTCCCAGACTAAGTAGTTCCTCAACACCTAGAACTGTCAGGTAGACAGCTCTCACTATCTGGAACGTGAGTTAAACGCAGTTTTCTTTTTAAACCCTTCTCCACCACAAATATTATCTTCCTCAAAGTTTTTTTTTTAAACTTTTAAGATTTAGACAAAAGAGCACCATGCGCTTCAGGCCAAAACAAAAGTTTTCTGTCTTTCACCTGTCTCAGAAACTGAAATGGTAACACATAGAAAGCAAGGAAAAAATCTCATCGGTGCCAGAATCACTACTGCTTTTAGTTAGCCATGACATTGGCTGACCTATCAAGCAACAGTGGCAGAGACGTTTTGGACTGACTGCACTTAAGACGGGGGTTCAGACCAGTCCAGCAACCCACACCCAACTCTCTTCTCCAAGTGTGGAATGACAGACTGGTAACGGACTTAAATTGTGAGATTCAAGTTCACAGTTCCAAGAACGATGCATGAGAGAGAATAACACAGTATTTAATGACATGCCCTCTAGCTAATTAAGGAATTCTGAGCTGTGAAGTGATAGCTAGTCTACTATCCTTAGTTACATTGCTTAGGCACATGGAAACTCCCTACCTTGAAAAACAGAGAAAAAGAAGTGGCAAGTAGAGCTTTCAGTTTCTGTATTGGATAAAATAAGCATGGTATGCCGATGCCTCTTGCCCTACCGAAGGTCAGGTGGTTTCATGCATATTCCTTTTTGGAGCTAACAGACAGTGGACAAACAGAAATCTCCATTCTTGTGCATTTCCTCCTCTGGGTTTGGCCTCACTTGTTCCCTTAGTACTTCAAGGCACTTGGTCAGACAGTAAACTTGTCCTTCTGTGGACACTGCTGAGCTATAAAGCTTTGCTCATACAAGACAGAGTTAGCTGCTGTCCGAGATGAGGCAGGAGAGCATATGAGAGCAAACAGGGAAAGACACTCCTGCAGAGCAGTGATCACTAGGCACTACAAACTAATTGCAAGCACGCCACCTGGCTGAAAAGAGGCAAAACCAAAGAAACAGCTCCTCACTACACTTTGTAATTGCCTTAATGAAGAATCCCATTTGATTCATTTTCAAGTGCAGCCAACACACCTGGGGAGAGGAATCCTTCCTTTGTCACAAAGGACTGAATGGAAGTTCAGTACCTGAAGGTAGGCATCAGTGATGAACCAGCAGGTATACGTGCTAGGAGAATTCCTATAATTTGCTCTAAAGTAACAATGAACGGTCGGTCATCACAGGTCAAATACAGATCTAGATGGGTGGGTTTAACATAGGCATTTACCATATCCCCTGCTTCCAGGTACCAGTATACATACAGAAACAAAGCTGATACAAAAATGCATTCAAAGTTCATCTGCATATTTATTATGTCAGATCAGATTTATTATGTTTATATTTATTTATAAGTATATTTATTTATTTTATTCTAAGATTTATTATGTATTATATTTAGATCAGTGATAAATACAGGAAACGTTCTTCACGTAACTCAAGACAGCATATCGATTGCTGCATTTTCCTCCTCTTTTGAACAAATTCACTGGGTCACAGATCTAGAAAGACTCTTAAATTATAGCTTAAAGAACTGACTTTGCCTCCCCCTCATTCACATCCCTGATGAATCCAACTTACCTTAAGGCCTCTTTCATACCGACGTGTTTTGGCACTCTCACCTGACTCCTTTGCATTAGAAATTGCTGTCCTATAGTTAACAATTCTATTCTCTATTGTCTGTTGCAGTTCACTGGTAACAGCTGCAAGTGAGGTGGTCTCAGAAGAAAAATAATAGAAAAAAAAAAACCAAATCAAGATGACTTATTTCAAACTATGCAAGTTTTCCTACAGCACTAAAAAACAAACGTTCCTCTTCCACACACACTTGCACTAATCAAGAGCACAAGGATGAAACAGTCTCTCTCAAACAGAAGAGCACTTGTACTGCACTAACCGTCCCTGGATCCACCTCTGGGCTTTCTCTCAAAGGCGTAATAGAGAAGAATGGGTGGAGACATTTAGGAAACCCACAGTCACAGGGTAATTGGAGCCATGCGGTTAGGGAGTAGGTGAGAGAAAACAGTGAAGTCTCTCAAACACCACAAAAGAGAGGGTGTGAAGAAGTATTTTGGCATGTGGCTTGACTCCCTGTCTTCCCCCCTGCCCCCTCCCCTTTTTTTAAAATCATGTTAGTTTTCTCCCTTCAGGGATTCTTCAACCTAGCTTTATTATAAGAGCTCCTTCTTTTTCCTCTTCCTACAGCCTGGGACTTGTTCAGTGACAAAAGCAGCCTAAGCAAATAGTTACCAATAGCTACTTACAAACATGCCACAGCTACAGAGACCTTTCAGATGGCTACTGAAGTAATTATTGCCATTATCTCTATAGAAACTCTCCCAGACCCATTTATTAATGGGCACAATGCATGAAGGCACTGGACTTTGTAGCACACAACAGAAACAGAGCAGTAACTGAATAAAAAATATGACTGCATGAGGATGGACAAATTAAGGCGGGAAAGCAAATGCTGCTGAGAAAAATTCCACACAGCCACCAAAGATGCTGAGTTAACAGGTCTCACCACTTCAGCACGCTGCTTAAGACCCAGTGGGGGATGCTATGAATCCTGGAAGCCTGAACTGCAGTCTGAATGCTCACATGTACAATGAGGGACAAGACATGTTCGAATCCAGCTGTTTACCTCTTCAATTCTATGCTAACAATAAATATTCAACCTCAGAACAAAACAAAACAAACAAATCACTGAAATACATCACTACTGCATCAGATTCCACAGACAAGAGCGCAACACCGTCTTGTGTTTACCGTCGGATAGGAGCAGCTCTCTATCTTGTTTGTTACCCTTGTATAAGCTGCATGACAATAAGAGTGATTCAGCAAAACTATTAGAAACACACAGCTCTTTCCTACCTGTGGTTGCACTTCAGGTTGCTCATTTTCTGTCTGAGCTGTGGATGAATCCATTGCAATTGTTTCATCCTCACAGCTTCCCGTCTCACCTTCCTCCCCCAGAACTTCTTGCAATTCTGCCTAAAATGTAAAAGCCAACAAAGGCAACTGTAGTGCATATAATAGTGCAATATGAAATAAAATAAGTTTCAAGCCCCAAAACCTTTGGATGGACCTTGAATCCAAACTGAGATTCTAAACATTTTATATCCTAGACAATTTCTGTTTTTTTTTTTTTTTTTGGGGGGGGGGTGAAGGGTGGAGGGAGGGAAAGGTGTGTTTGGTAGCAGGGCTGATTATTAAGAACTGCTTCCAATCGTTCCACTTGTAGCCAGAACAGGAAGCCAGATACCACACAAAAGGCAGACTACAGCTCCAGGATCATTATGCAAGTTGGTGGATAGAGATCTGAAGCTGGAGAAGTTCAGAGAAGTACCTTTACAAAGGTCATTCAAACCCCAACTTTGAAATTTCTGAAAAGAACCTATTAATAATGGCTGTCAAAAACGGCTTAACACTCATTCCCTAAACCCTGACAACCAGCTCACTCATTAAAATCTCGAAGAAATTACTTAGGATACGTTGTCTCAGGCCAAGGAGTACCCAGAGCAGTAGCAAAATGGTCACAGATATCACTTTAAGAAATATGCCTGACAGTAAGTTGTTCATCAGCTGACACAGATGGGATTCCCACTGTTCTCCCACTCCTCTAAGACACACATATGAACGTCAGCTAGGAAACCCTCTCCGCTCTGGTGCGCAGAGTGTCAGATCTTACAAAGGCTTTCCATCACACACAAGGCCTTACAACATTTCAGATTCCCTCTGCAAAGCTAATGAACATTTTTGCTAAAAGTTATTCCCTGAAAAAATCGAACTCAAAAGAAACTCTGAAACTTTTTGCTAACAAAATCATACATACCAACAGGTCTGTATCTTTCTCTAAGTCATCATCCTCTGTTTCTTCCTCCTCATCTTCATTCAGGTCCTTCATACACTCTGCAGCCATCTTTTCAATATGATCCATGGGCAGAGGAGCTGCAAAAAGCAACCAGGAGGAGCCATAAGTCCTAAGTAACAGGTATGTGGCCACTAGATGCAAATTCTAAAGGCGACACTATTGACTGGACGAGGGCAGCGAGTTCTTGTCTTGCTTCTCTCCTTTACCTAATAAACAGTCTGCTCCTAAACAAGAAAGCAAGGTCTGAGAAGGGAGTCACAGGTATAACCGGCTGAAGTCCCAGAGCAAATCAAACAGTGCCTCCTGCTTGTTCCCTCATCCGATTTTTTTTTTTCTTATTTGCACTATTCTCTCTCATATCTCTATCCCACCTGCCTTTTTTCATGTTAATGCCTTTCTTTTCCCCTGCACAGCTCCCTGGTTTGGTTTGATCTATCTAAGTCGATAGATTATTTTCCCCTTCTCTCTCTTTTCTACAGTCCATCCCATTTGTTTCCTTCAGCATAAATATTTGTTCTTACTCCAAATTAGCAGGGGACTGTATGGCAGACTGTTTGAAGGGGGCAGTGAGTATTAGCAACGCATGAGATGAGTGCAAGTCCTAAAACGTAAGGGATAAGTTGAACCCTGTGCATTTATGACTTTATGACTGAGGTGAAATTTAATTCCAGAAAACTAATGGTTTTCTCAAAAAACAAAAGGGCTAAAATGCCCCAAATCTGCAAATTCTTTCACTAGTACACTTCTCCTGCAGATTTGCATCAGTAGAATTCTCCAGAAAAGAGCCAAAATGCACGTTGTTACAACGTGGTAGAAGTCTCCACGTGAGAACAGTATACCAAAGACTCTTTCTGTGACAGAAGGCACATTCTCACCTCTTTCCGTACTGATCTTAATTAAATTAAGGAGATAGGTAGGAACTGCTTCTCTACTCTGCCCTTTTGTTCAGGTGACATCTGCAGCCATAGGCAGGCAAAAGTGTATTAAGACTTATTTTTTTGAGCAAGTGTAACGTTGAACAAATTCAGATTTCTATGTGTGAAGGATTATTATTTGGATGAGGTATATCTGACTCTCCTAAAGGGAGATCTGCATAATAGAAAAATCAACACTGTTAAGAAACGCTCACACGCCTATCATCAGAGTGGATCCAGAGAATACAATAAGGAAAGAACGCTGTCTTCCAGGAAGGAGAAAGAATAATTCAAAACGCGAGACTGAGGCTAAAAACGAACTCAGATATTGTCAGCTTTCTGTTGGTATAGGCAAAGGATTTCACCAAACAAAAAATAAAACCACCACTCAAATAACGGAGGCTCAGCTGATCGTCAAAGTAATTCGTCCAACCTGTAAGAAAGGGCAAAGATGTGATCAGGTAAGTTCAGAGGACTAGTTCTATATGGGAAGTTTTGGCATGAGGTTTTGTTCACTAAGAGCCACTATGAGAAAGACAACTTTTCTCAAAAGACAGACTCCCTCTACCAGCTGCCTAAAACTGCAACAGTCTATGACTGACCAAAAAAACCCCACCGCCTGTTTAAAAAAAAAAAAAAAAAAAGGGGGGGGGGGGGGGGGGTTACAACTCTGGAAGCTATTAAGTGAATCATAGGTAAATGAGGGTACATTCATGGATAAAGGACAAAGACTGGGGAAGTGAACATCAGGAGAAATAAAATACTAGTCAAGGCAGGCAAGAAGACAAGGAAAATGACTGTATCTAATAATCTAGCTCAGAAATTGGATGCCAGGGAGAAATAACTTCTGTTCACTAATATAAGGAGCCTGAACTGCTAAATCATAAGCACCATGACTAGCAGGCGAGGTGAGATACAACGCTGCTCAGAAAACACAGGTGCAAAAGAAAGATATTGGGGTAGGTTGGCACAGTAATGACATTTAAGCCTGAGGAAAAAAAGACAAGTCAACATGGATGAAACAACTAGTTCAGGGGAAAAGTGCTAGAAGTTACCTCAAGCTCCTAGGCTGATTGAAGATACGGACAAATATCTCTATGATATTCTCCAGAGAAATAACCTAGTAACAGAAACGTTCATGGAAGACTTCAATTCGCCAGAGATAAAATCGAGAATAATACTAAGTATACTTGGATGTTGTGTCAAAACCATATTTCTCAATAAACAAATCACTGAAACAAGAGATGCACGCACGCTCAGATTGGTCCTGGTAGGTAGTGATGACATCATAGAAGGATAAATCAAGAATTGCTGAGAAATCGAGGAAACTAGGCCTTAAAAAATTGAAATCAAACGTAGAAGTGTTTTGGGCTATGAAGGAATAAATGGCCCTGCTAGTCTGGAAGACTTGAGATAAATCCCCCAAATAACAGAACGTTCTGTATTCATTTTCAATTGGATTAATGGGAGATTATATAAACAACTGGGTGAAAGTGCAAGCTACCTCCAAAAGTACGAACAACCTTAATCTCAGCATATTTAGGGTGAGAAGGTAACAACTATTTTCATCTCAGAATATTTAAGTGGCAAAAATGATTTCTAAGTCAATTCAGAGCTACCATATGACTAGAAAAAATATCAGTACCTACATTTAACAGAAGATGAAGAAAAACTATTAAGGCAACTCCGGGTTTGTCACCGCATGTGGTTTCAGAACAGTTCTTGAAAGAGAAAGAATACACGAAGAGTGAGGAGAAAGAGGATATTATAGAACATATATGTACAAAGTACAAAAACTTCTGCTATAAACCAGAACTCATCAGCTGAAAATTAGAGGAAGAGAAATACCCGATTGCACCAGGCAACTACAGGCTCACTGAACGAAAAACTGCCGAAAAAAAGCAACCCTTGCACACATCAGTCAATATACCTCCAACAGAAAAGTATTAACACTATGGCATAAGGTCTTGGTGAAGTTGCATCTGTAACACTATACCCATTCCTGAGAATCAGAACTGTACATTCTTGAGAAGATAAACTTAAATTACAGTAAGTATAGGCAAAACTGCTAGGAGGAAGAGAAAAATCTATTTTATGGAGATAAAACTAAACAGCTTTATATGCTTCCTTTTTTAAAAATACATTAAGGTATTAAGCACTAGAGAAGGAAAATGACCACTTAAAATAAAAATCAATGGTGGCACAAGAACAAATGAGTTAAAAGTACTCCGGCTCCCAAGGATTTGCATGTATGGACAGGACCGAGTTAGTTTGGGAGGAAAATGCAGCTTTAACAGTCAGGTGCGCGAGATGCAGAGACATGGTATTAAATATCTCAGCACACCTGCCTGTACAACTTCTGGTAACATTTTCTTTCAAAGCCAAAAAAAATACTGTTATTGTTCATATTCCAACAGTGCATATAGCCATAAATCAGAACAAAGATCAAAGCAGTTACTGTAAACAGTGCCCAGCCCAAAGAGTTCCCAGTCTAACTAGAGCAACTTGCTAAATCACTGGAATTTTGTATAAGGTCTGTGCTGCACTTAGGACTTCAACAACTCACCCACTTTCTCAATCTACAACAAAAGCACAAGAGTGTCTTCTCTTTCTCCCCCTCTCCTGATAAACATGTTTTTGTTTTGAAACTGGTAACGCATGTTAACATCAAGTCTACAGATGTACTGAGCAAAACAGGCTATAAACCAACCTACCAGTCATTAACAGGACAAGAAAGGAGGAAGAGCGAAAAATAAAAAGACAAGAGACTCCTTCCACCTAGAGAAACAACTGGCTTTACACATCAAGCGCTACTTCAAGTCACACCTGGGATACAAAAATAAAACGCTCTGAAAAAAACTTCTTCACTGTGAGGGTGACAGAGCATTGGAACAGGTTGCCCAGAGAGGTAGTGGAGTCTCCTTCCCTGGAGATATTCAAAACCCGTCTGGATGCGATCCTGGGCAATATGCTCTAGAGGTCCCTGCTTGAGCAGGGAGGTTGGACTAGGTGATCTCCAGAGGTCCCTTCCAACCTAAACCATTCTGTGATTCTGTGAATCAAGCTAACAAGCTTGTCCTTACTTCAACCCAGAGGAAGCAGCAAAACACCGGCACAAAAGATCTGCTGCACAGATCAGGAAGAGTGCTGTTTCTCCTGCCTCTCTAAATATAGCTCTGCATTTTCTGCATCATCACCTCATTCTCTGAGCAAATTTCCCCTTTCTTGTATCTCTTCCTTGGCTACTTCATCCTGCAATTTCTCTTGAAGCTTCTGGACTTTGCCCTGAAAACTCTACCTAACTCCTCCTTGCTGACTTCTCATTTCTACCTCATGCTGTGCCTAACCACGACTTCTTTTAACTGTTGTATCCACTTCCCCCACACAAACCCAAAGATGGAGTTATTTGCACACAAGTCCCAGCTGTCCATGGAAACACCATACTTCCCTACGCAGAAGGTAAAAGCTGAATACAATCTAGATTTTTAGGGTACAGCTTTACAGTTGATTTAAACAGATCTAAAATGCGTCCCATCCTTCCGCTGCATTTGTGAACCTGCTGAAAATTAACCTAGGAACAATGTTTTTTCCATTCATACGATCTAATTTACCATATGATCACTAGCATTGACACAAGAGCTGCAAAAACGCATGAGAAGGATCACTTGTTTCAGCAGCAGCATAGTAACTTAACCTCTAACCAGACCCTTCACTTTAAAGAAAGAAGGACTTTAGTGCTTCAGTATTTCATCAAACATGCTGCTCACATATTTGACCCACAGCAAAGGTTTGCAACTAGGAGAGCTGGCCACGTCCAAAGGCAAACTGGCCTTACTTCAAAGTCAGCATGTCCCTTGGGTGCAAGAGCCTTCCCTTACACGAAGCCCTGCTAAAGGAGGAAAAGACAAGCAAGCTTCCTTGGAGGGCGGGTTCAGCTCTAATCCAGTACGGCAAGTTGTGGCGACAATTTCAAATACCGGAGTGGCTAACCAATTGCCATTTATCAGTCACAGAGAGAAGAGATCAGTGCACTTAAGACATTGCAATACAGCTTTTCCTGCATGCATTCTCAAAGTGCAGGGAGAGATTAAATTTTTTTTTTTTTTTCAACAGCACAGCCCTAAAATACAAATCTGGGAGTCAATCACTGCACCCTGTGCTCAGTCCAGAATGGAGCCCTAGTATATATTACGCTGGGTCCCTTTTCTCTGTCTTCCTCCAGACACTAGATCTGTTTCTCCCCTGTCCTTACTGTACCTTCCTCCTTTCCAGGCACTGGACTGCATCCTGCCCCCACGATATACCACGTGCTCATCACTATGCTGCTGCACCAGGCGTCAGCACCCCTCACTGCCAGCTATACATTCCTTCATCCTCCACAAGCTTCTGGCCTAACTATTTCCAAGCGTACTGGGAAAAAAACAATAGTTGTAAATTATTTTTAGAAAAACAGTAGTATAAACCCTATCACACACCTTCAGAGAGTGTAGTAAATATTAACTTTCCACTCCCTCTGAAGTTTCACTTCCCTCTTATGAGCAAAAAGACTGAAAAACACATCAAGTGACATAATCAGGGCCAAAGGATGTTCATATTTGAGAAGTGACAACAATTCAGAAGCTCCTGACACCCAGATTCATCCTCCGGGAGGAGGACGCTGCTAGACTCCGAGTTTCCATCAAGAATAATCTATGCCCAAAAGCAGAACTTCCGCTGTTGCTAAAATGAAAAATTCTGATCCTCTGAGAATCAAGACTCAATGCTATTGTAGTTACTCTGTGCTACTGAAAGTGAGCGCCTGTATATTTGGTGATATGAACATCACCTCCGTTACCCATACACTGGTTCAGAATAACCCTGGAAGAGCATGATATTTCCAGAACTCCTGATAAAGACTATTATTTTAAACTTTTTAAAAATAAAATTGCTATGAATAGCTACAGAGGAAAATATAACTGCAACAACCAATTATAGTGAATTAAGAACATCCAAAATCTGAAGAAATATACATTTCATATTCTATCAAAGACTAAAAAACTATTGTACTTCTTAGCATTAGGGGGTTACTACAGTTTTGAAATCTGGAGGGTGGAAATGGCTGAGAATTTAGCTTCAGGAACAAACACCTGTTCTGACTCTCACCAATTAGAGTTTTGACACTTATTCACTTTTCCTAAATATTAAAAAAAATCTTAATTCCCCTGCTGCTGTGTGTGAAAGTCCCCTTAAATATCATAGGTAAATTACTGCAGAACTATAAAATAAAGTTGCAGTTGAACTAACACTTTTTCCAGCATCTGTCCACACACCTGTAAAAAGGGTGAGTCCAATTTTCCTTCTCCCATCTCAGTCATTTGCTCCCACCCCTCCCTACTCGCCACAGCAAAATTCACAAAGCCTAGTAGTAAACCAGATCAAATAAGCGATTTAGCCAAAAACTTTGCCCAACAGCAGAAACTTGTTTTCGTGGATCAATTTCCTGAACCAGCTCATCCTGCAGCTCCATAAATGTGTTTACCGGTTTTGAGGAAGAGTATGCTCACTACTAGACTGCGCCTCTCAGCAGCAGCCTGGATGCGTACTGGATTATAACTATCCTGTAAAACACTGCATAGCTGCGTGCAAACAGTATCGGACAAAACTCTCAGATTCCTAAATACTAAGAACAGCAGTGATCCACTCTAAGAGGTACTCTAACCTTCTCTGTAACACAAACCACAGAACTCCCACTTCTCCCATCAAGTCCACAATTTCCCTTTTAAACGGATATTCAATTATGGTTACAGACTGGAAAAAACTAAAAATCTAACACTAACTCAGTAAATTCACTCCTTAAATAACACCAAAAAAACAACCAAAAAACAAACAACTCAAGACACTATTTCCATTCTGAAGTCATATAGATCCTACTACAGCCTGTTATACCTTCATATACTAAATTAACAAGGCTTCCAGCCATCAAATATCTTCTTCCTACCTGTGTTTACAAGAGCACAGACAAATAACTCTTACCGTTTTTGTGGAGTAGCAACTTAACCTTTCAAAGTAAAGGAAATAAAGTTATTGCAATTTCAGCCTCTACCAGTGATGAAAAGCGTTTTAGAGAATTGAGTGACTTAAAAATAGTTATCTTCAATAAATTATTCAGGTCTTCAATCAGTAACATCCAAAGACTTCAACTTACTTTTCCCTTTTGGTTTTGACTTCCCTTCTGTCACCTTCACTCCAGTGATAGAAGCAAGCTCTGCTTCTAGGTCCCCATCATCAGCACCCTCCTCTGCACCCAGCAGCATCTCTTCAGGATTGAAATCTACAAATAGCCCCAGCTAGAGCCAAGGCAAAAAAAAAACACTGCTGTGAGAACTGAGATGACGCTCAAAAACATCATGCTGCACTTAGGCATCACTCATAAATAGGTTATTTAAACATTTCCATGTACTCCGGATTCTCTTTGTTTTCAAAGCAAACTATCACACCATTTCTATTACCAAAACAATGCCCGCAAGGCATCCATAACTGAAACGATGCATATAACTCTGTTAGGAAGCAATGAATACTCCCTCTAAGACTGTACACAATCAATCCAGTCTCTTCAAATCAAGTCTACCTAATAATTTGAAGTAAAAAGATAAAATAAAATGCTGCTCGTTATATTGAGCCTCATTAAGCAGATTTCATCAAGGAAGTTCAAGACAGTTGCTTAACAGCTGATCTAATCGGCATTCATATGATACAGATCCGACATGCACACACTGCAGATTTTACCCTCGATTCTTGGAAAAAGTTATATTTGCATATACAGGACTGTTTTGCATTTCTCAGTACTTCAGTTTGTAAATCATAAACACAAGGAAAAGCACTCTACACACATGGAAAGATGGCCATTACAAAACCAGCAATGCCTATAGCACGGGGGAGAAAACAATCAACAGATCATCACCATAGCTAAATGACAGCATCTCAGGTGGAAGAATACTAATTACACTAATCAGAATTTGAAAAAAAAATAGTGGGGGTAACCACTCTACTGTTGCAAAACATGCTAAACGACAAAGATCAGAGAAATCTCCAGGGTCCTAATCTAAAAGACAGCCTTAGATATCACTTTGCCACTATTTTTATAGTGCTAGGTAAGGCAGTAATTTCCCCAGAAATAGCAGCATTCTTTATCTTGACTCTTAAAAATATGAATTAATTCACAGGATGAATGGAATTCAGTTAAGCAAAGCAGCTTTCCTCAGACTTTTTCAAAGCACAAATCCCTTTTGGCTTACTGATCTTCACATGGCCAAGAAGGCAGCAGATCAGTTCCTCTGAAGCAGAGAAATAAAAAATAGCTATCGCTATTACAAAGATTAACAATCACCTCCTGCCTTGTAGGATCTGAAGTGCTGCCACAAGCTGAAGCTGGCTGTCAGTTTATCAACTAGTGCAAATTACTGGTAACTTTTTTTTTTTTTTTAAATCCTTCATCCTGCAAGAATCAAGGTACTGCTGGGCACTGCTTTGAAATGTTCTATGACCCTCTTTGAACTTTTTATAATCCCAAAGAAAAACATGAAATGTAGGTAAGAAACACTGATCTCAAGGATTGGAAAACAGCATTCAAAACCAGCAACTATTTGTTTACTAGTCCTGACCCTGCCCTCGACATTCTGAATGGCACAAGGCAGATCACTTGGCCGTGCTATGCCTTCTTCCTCTTCCATAAAACAAAACACGCTTGCACACTTGGACAGAATGGAAAGGTCAGGACGAGATTTAATTAGGAAATATTTATAACGGTGATCTAAAGATGCAAAGTGCTATGGAATGAGCACCTTTTATAAGTGTGCAAACTGGATCAGGAGCGTATGTGATCTATCCATTGCTACACTGCAAGTGACACATGAAGTCAAGAACAGAATCCAGCGCTTCTAGCTCTAAGTCTCTCAATCCTTTCAGTAAAACCCATTTCCAATGAAATTAACAGTTTTAAACTCAAATGCTTAATATAACAGAAAAACAATGTTACAAATAACTTGCAGTTGATACATTACGTAGCTCAAACAAACTCAAAATAGGGTTCATTTAAATGAACAAGCCATTAGAGTATTCATCGTAAGAAACAGTTCTCCATGCTGTAAGATGGGCTGAAAAACTAATATGTTTTACTAATTTCTAACTATGTAGTTAATTAGAGTTACTCTTTATCTTTTTATAGTTTGTTTTACTGGGGGGAAGGGAAGATGTTTTTACCTTTTTTACCCCCCTTGTTCAAATGAACTAAATATATACTACTTTCCCAATTTAGAAATTGGAATTTTCATCATAGAGCAACAGTGACTTTATGCATCTCTCCTTGAACCGTTCTGCTTCTGCTATGACAATACTGGCTCTTAAGAAATCATCAAAATGGAATCTCATCTATTTTCTCCGTTTTAATATCCCATTCCAATCTCCTCTCAGATCCTTCTGTTTTCGTACTAGCTATTCTTCCTCCACATATTACTTGCGTCATTTCTACTTTCAAAGTTGTAGGAAGTTCTACTCTGGACCTGACTTATTCTTTACCTCTAGCTGTACTCTGCTTTTCTTCCACTGCTCCACCCAGGACTGTGCTTTGACAGTATTGCTATCTTTAACAATTTCACGTGACTTCCTACACCTACCAACCACAACTGAACTATGCTTCTCTCCTCCATGCTTCTGAAACTACACCCAAACATAAAGAGTACACATACAGGCTCGCTACCCAGGATTAAATCACAGCTACAAGAGGGGCATAGCTTTACCAGTTTATTACAAGAAAAATGACTATACGGAAAACAGAGAGAACTAGAAACTATCTCTGTTCTAGCACTCTCTAACGCTCTCCCACACGCGTCCCTGAGTTTGTCCCTGGCTGTTTTGATCTTCGTAAGTTATTTTTATAATCTCGGAAGGTGTAAGAAAAATCCCAATACAGTTATCGAAAGCTATTATTAAATCTCAACATAGCTGAGGTAGGAAACTACTATTAGCCTAAGTCACAAGGGCTCACGCAAGGATCAGTGTTACAACATAGTGGCTTCCTTGCAAGACCTCCACTGCCTCAGGTCAGATAAGTACTCTAAGAGCAATGCCCTAAAGGAGAGAGAAAAACACCCCGACAATTTAAATCTAAAAAACTGTCATGGTCCTGCCAGCTCTTCTTAACGCGAGGGAAACGCCAGCAGGCCAACAGCAGCAAAAGGTCTGAAGAAGATGAGGCCGAAGCGCAGGAGGTTTCCTCACCTGCTTCGCAACGGCGGCTCCCTGGCCCTTGGCCTGCGGGCTCCTCTTGGGTCTCCTGCCGAGCATGGCGGTCACCAGCCCACGCCGAGGGCACGCAGCCGGTCGCGGGCATCCG